GCCACGGTATCATTTCAGCTTCTCACATCTATATGGTGAAATACATATACTGTAACTTACTTGATACTATAATCCAAGAATTATTACAAAACAGAAGTAGGAATTAATAAATATATTATTAGAAATGGACAAGATGACAAACAAAGTAAATTAATGATATAGTGTGTGATTGTATATATAGACTTTGTTTATTACACCAGTCTTTACCGTTAAAATCCTATTATAAACCGCGGTTTATATTACAATGTATCAAATAAAAAATTGGGATCAACAGCTCAAGTTTGGGGTGCGGTTTCTATTGCGTACATATTGCAATCACTAAATGGGCGTGGTAATTTTTTCCCACATGACTTGCACAAAACAAACAATACATCGTATAATCTTTTGAATATAAGCGTAACTCCAATTTAGATGTCCGGGAAGAGTGCTAAGCCTCACGTCACGTCACAAAAAAACTGTTCACATGAAAAAAAAAATACTCAGTATAATTAGTGTAATATGCATTTATTTTTTTAATTTTCTTTGTAACACAAAGTATATTCTGACTGGAGTTTTAAATAAAAACAAGCACTAAAAAAGTATGGTACCTTACTTGTTTTCGAAGTGTTGAAATTGTTGATTATTACTCAGTAGTGATTATAATAACACACCAAAAATAAATTCGTTGAATTGTTTTCAAATGCAAGTAAAATTCAACTTAGTTTCACCGTAAGCGAATTATTTGGGTCACATGTAAACGATCGATGCGATACGACATCCGCCATGTAGTTTGAATGCACACGTTACTTGACCAGATAGGTCAAGTCACTAATTAACCAATCAAAATGCTGGATGGTGCCCACATGTTCAAATTACCTTGGTTCATTTAAATATTTTAATGACAGGTCACAGACTTCATGGTGAACGAAACCCGGAAAAGATTTACTGATAATGTAGTGCGATTTTTTGGCTTTGATTTTCATGGGAAAACGACATGACTTTTTTTTAAATCAAGAAATTAGTTGTTTTCGAAAAATAAACTCAGCATTGAAAAAGCATTTAACAGTTTTTCGGTGATAACAGCTCATTGTCGAAAACTTGCAACACACGGACATATTCATAAGGAGTATTGACAAAAGTTGTCACAAGAACAAAAGCAGTTTCACTGCGTGTTTGACAACCTAACACTACTGAACAATAAAGAGGTGTGAATATTTTTAGGCAAGTTGTCGAAACAAATGAATAGGATTAGGAACCAGCTGGTTGAAACAAAGTCAGTCACGGTCTTGTTGAATTGGGGGTACGGTTAGTAATAGGTACTTTTCATGTTTTCAATTTTTGTTGAGAACTCTTTAACACTGAAGCTGAAATCGGGGGTGCGGTTACTATTACGTATGCGGTTTATAATAGGATTTTAACGGTACATGTAACAAATGTATTTTCTAATGTTTGATGATCCTAAGTCTTGACTTAACAGGGTGCTTAGAAAATACTAGTTTAACTTTGTGATGCAGTTTTCTGTACAACTGTATTATCAAAATGTATAATTACCTTGATATTGGCAAAGTGTGGATTCATACTTCTTAATATAGTACCTTCTATCCTTGATGTTATAAGGTCTGGTGGTGCATACATGGTAACATATCCATAGCATAACATAACAGTGCTTTTAATCTGCTCAACATCAACTTCAGATTTGTCCTTCAGTTTGAAGCAAAATAGTCGATAAATCAGTTATAGCTTTATTATCTGTTTAACTTATTTGAAGTCTTGAACATATTTTAATAGTAAAATAAACCATGATTTGTTATCATCACTTAAGACATTCATGATTTATGTTGTGTTAGAATTAGACTGAATTATTTTGTATCTAGAATACCTAGAATCCTGACATGCTAGGCTGTTCTGAATCCTGCTTCAGAACACTCAACATCATTATCATTTCCCAGCAATTATACTGAATTTCTCCAGAGAGGTCTTATATCTGCAACCTAATACCTTATAGTTGAAATGTGTATCTTAAAGTACCAATAATAGGCATACCTTTATAAATCCTAGGCTGAATAACCCGGATCCTTTTTTCAACATTTTTTCTTTTGTCACAGTTTCTAATTTCTTGATGGCAGCATCCAGATGAGATGAGGCACAGAATCCTAAACCAACTGCACATCCCTAATACAAGACAGTATATCAGAACATTCAGGCATACCCACAGATTATGATTGCACAAGCAAAATTTTCAAATATAAATTTTGTTATAAATCATTTTTTTAAGTCTTTTCCACAATTATAATATCTACCACCACACTGCGAGTGCTGCGATTTCCCATTTTCACTTTGTTTTTATATCATCACAATATGTTTTCATGTCAAAACTTTTCTAAAAATGTGCTCTACTCCTCACAGCAGATAGAAATGTTCTATTCCTAGTTTCTAGATACAATTATAGAAATTAACATGTAATAATATGAACTTAAATCAGTAAATTTGCAAAACAGACTAATAAAACAGATCCTGAAAATTTTTCAATTCAAACAGGTATATGGTAACTCACTGTAATAATCAACCAGTAGCAGAGGACGAACATTTCCCAACAAAGAGAATTTATCAAGGCTTACCTCTCTTTCAAACTGACTTGTATGCTTGACTGATGAAAACATCTCATTGAGAAGTTTGTCTACAAGATCTCTTTTACTGGTCTTCCTCATAACCACTCCCATACACTTGTACATAAAATTCTAATAAACAAAATATGCATAATATATGTTATTTATTTACCAAGATTGAAGGCCTTCCTTGCTCTGAAATTGAATTGGGATAATAATAATATTGCTGCTCCATTTAAAGACACAAATGTAAAATATATTCAGACTATGCCTTTAATATGATGCAAAAAAAATAGAGCAAGAAATTTTCATAAACTGAAAAATATTATAATAATAATATTTATATCACAAAGAGTAAAATGCATTATTTAGTCACTGTGTTTAACAAGGAGTTAATGTTATACATGTACATGTAGTTTTAAAGCCAGCCATGTACATGTACCCAATAATTACCTTTTCATCAGAGCGGTTTTGATAAAGTGGGACTTGTTCAATGAAAGCTTCACCAATTTCACATATGAATTCTTCATCATCAACTTCATCAAGTGTTTTTGATAACAACTGCAAACATATGTAAAGCAAGTATGTACCAGTAGTTGAGTTCACGTTACACGAAGTACGAGCTAAGATTTAAACTGATTTAGGGTTATCTAGCATATTTGCATTTCGGCTAGACCCAATTGCGTCCACGCACAGGGAGGACCAGTCGTTAACACGGGCTAAGGGGCGCCATTAGTCAGCGAACCAATTTTATTTTGTCTACAATTGGAGCTGCTGTATGCTCTACTACAGCGACCCGATCAGTGTGGAAGCGAGCGCGGAGTAATGACTGGTGGAATAGAGTCGTTATACGAACATGGGACAATGCAACATTCCTCGAAAACTTCAGTTCTGTTAAGTTTTGGAATGAGAAAGTTGGACGTATTTGATCACGTGCATAATTTTCACACCCAAAGGTTGATGCAGAGGGCGCTTAGCCCTAAGCATTCGCGCACACTTCGTTAGCCCGTGCTAAGGTCTAGACCGCGTCTTAAATTCGGATCAGATTTAACCCATACTTAGCATTCCTTAGCCCGTGCTAAGCGTTCACACACGTTTTCTTAACACGGGCTAAGGAATTTGACCCCTTAGCCCGTGCTAAGGAGCTGTGCGTGAACGCAACTAGTAAATAACAGTTCTTTGTATGTGATACATGCTTAGTTGCGATCAAAGTCCTCACTAATCACTATTATTTACATCATTTCAAGACAATTATTTTGACATGTTGCTCATATCAATATGCATGATTGTGAAAAACACAAACACTCAATTTGGCAATATAACAATTTACTTTCAAATTGATAATACTCGCAGATGCAGCTGGCTTCAATAAAGAAGAAATACCTTTTTTTTTACTTAAACGTTGTGAAAGCAGCAGTGTCAGATGACATTATTTGATAGAAAGTCATAATGACATCTATCATTCAGAAGTACACTTAAAATTTTGAATATTCAAAGACATCTACACATGTATGTCACATACTGGTGAAATTTTATATGAAAAGGAATGTGTTAAGCAATATTACCTTGAGTAGCAAGTCTTCCCAAGACTTTTGTGACCATTTTTCATCTTCATGAAGGTTGTCTTAAAATGATTAAAAAAAATGAAGCTGAAGCAAGATTTGTTATAAGAAAAAATATACCATTTTCTTGAGTGGTTGAAATAATAAGGCAAGATTTAGTCTCTAATCTCATTGCAGAATTGAAGATATCAATGAATGTGATTCCAAACAGAGCTACAAAGATTGAAATATGGAAATAGAAGCGATTTCTCATCAACTTTGTAGTATCTCGTAAATAATGTATTTTGAACACTTTTAACTAAGAACATGTACATGCACTATCAAAAATTTAAAAAAAAATAATGGTATGCAAGTTACTAACTATATTCATGTACAGTGATATATGATAGTATTTCATATGAATTACATACATACATAACATATTTCTAACCAATGGAATCACAGAAAGCAGAGTACATTTGGAAAGGTTCAATTATGTATAAAATAAGTGTATTAATGAGCTAGGTAATGCTTTATGTATCAACAAATCAGTTCTTTTCCATACTAACTCATTGTATA